GGAGTATATCTTGAGACTGGAGGTGAGAAGAGGTTCGGAGGCAAGAAGAGGTTTAGAGGCTCGTAAAGATGTATGTTTAATAGAAGTTTCATGTTGTGCAAATATAGATGTGGACTCTTTTAAGTAGAGGTGTAATTGAAATTTATCGCAGCAGTGATAAAGTTATCTTCTGCTAATCGTTTGCTTTGTGATACATGATATCTAAAGATTACGTTTTTAGCCTGATGACAAATAAAGTTAGATATCCATAATGAGATTAATAATGATGTGTCCGGATAGGATCATAAGAATCTGCGAAGGCTTAGGAGAGGATGTTCTTCATTACAGCACTAACACATGGGACTCACCTGTTCAGTTTGTGACTGTAAATGTCATATTACCAACCTGTCCTCACACTTTATCTGAGGCAGTGTTCTTCTATAGATCACAGCGTTAATTATCAACAGTTTTAGTGAAATTATAATATTGACAAAATATAGACTCTTCTTTGGACTAAGGATTTTTTTTCAGTGATATTCCTGCGCGGGCCCTAAGCCTCTGGCTGGCCCATAGAGTGTTGCTTGTTTCTGTTTTACTTCGGCGGAGTATATTTATGACTCGTATGGTCGCTTCAGTAAGATTTTGTCCCACGTGTTTAACAACTTCTACTCTGTTGAATCAAAATTAAAATCTTAATGGGTTTGTAACTCTTCACTGTGTTAGATAATAAGGATAATCGACCTAGGTTTGCTAGGAAAGTCAGATAAAAAGAACTTCACACTTAGTACTTGTTAGACTGTGAATGCTGGTGGTTCGTTTTCCTAATTATTCGAAATTTGATTTTGTTTTCCTTTAGTGTTATGGAACACAAAGTATTTCCTTATTATTAAGATCGTTTGTTGTTCTAGCTGTGTAACTTACAACTGGCATTTACCTTCACCAAACTATAATACAGCTTAGTACGTGAGTTAGAGACGTAACATAACAACCTTTTAACGACCCCTGTTCTAAAGATTATCTCTCCTGGTGCTTCTCCTGATCGGCAAAAAGCATTCATTCGACAACAGTGGTTCTTAATGAGAGGGCAATGATAGCACGAGAAACATGTTCAAGAGCACTCTATTGGAACAATATATATCACAGAAGCAGAACACTTATGGTGTCTCACTCCACACAACTCCAGGTGCAGGGAGCAGGTGGACTCTCGCACTTCACTACCCCAGCTGCAAGGAGGCGATGAACTGTTGCACATTGTCCGTCTCGTCTGATGAGGAATACAACCCCGACCTCATATCTTAGGGATAAAGTGTGAAACTCAGAGTAGTATGGGATCGTTTACTGTAACAGTTGTGCCAGGATATGTACATTATAATACAACAATTGAAATGCGTATTGTACAAGTAACATTATCAATTAAAGAAATGAAGGCCCAAAATGAGGAGATATCGGCTGATGTAGGAGCTCATCGCAGTCAGTTGGTGTAGTTATGGTAGCGGTTGTAGTTGTGTTAAATATGTGTATGAGCTGTATTTCCTACTGCCGGGCTCCTCTCGTCCTGGGTCTTGAGTAAGTGAAGGATGGAAGGAAGTTACAGAGTTCTGACCTTTCAGGATAGCGTTACTGAAATCTCAGCATTGCTCGCAAAGCTTTATGGGAGCTCAAAATTACCCCGGGGCTCATTTTCTTTTAACAATCTAAAGCTCAACAAAATCGAACAATAGATAAGCTCAGAAGGGCCCTTTGGAGGGCTTCACATCGCTTACCAGGATCTTACAAAGATCTAACAGAACTCACAGAGCTCACAGGACCTTAATAAAATCTCACACATAACACACAAAGCTCTTAACGGTAAATTGATTTTGAAATGGAACCTTTTCAATATTGATCCTTTCCAAGAATCCATGAAATTGGAGTTGTTTCACACGATCAGTTTAAAATTAAATTAAACAATTCTTTAAGTATTCCTAAGTTACTTGATTTAAATTGGGGAATTAAGGGTATATTTAATCCGTATATATTAAGGGAAACTGATAAGATGAAAGCAGCTCCTGAAAGGTGCACGGGCACTGAAAGAGAGTACCGACCAACCATTATAAGGCAGAAAGGAAGTGTCCACACGACTAGTTTTATTTTTTCTTGATAATTATGGTACACACACACTCCGATAGGACACAGGCAAAAAAATATATGTATAGTTCATATTATATATAATATGATATATATACATATATATATATATATATATATATATATATAAATATATATATATATATATATATATATATATATATATATATATATATATATATATATATATATATATATATATATATATATATATATATATATATATATATATAATCATTATATATAAGGCCGGGCGCGACCCACTACACCCCCCGAGAAACAGATGTGATCTTCCTGGAAGAGATTTAGATTCATCTTGAAACTTATGTTTAATGTGTTGGAAAACAAAGACTTTGTTGACTCTCCATCTTTTACTATTTTCTTCATCTTGATGTCATCGTCTCGAGTTGGGGAAATGATTCATTATTTTGAAAATTACCGTTCAAAACGGCTGGAACACATTAATTTTACAGCTTTATTAATAAATTTAGAAAAATAAGTTTGCTTCGTTTTGTTTCAGTTTTTTAAATCATCGGTTTAAACCTAATTCCGAAAACTACAAGCATTAGTATATATTACTGACTCAATCTTAAGACCGTCCGGGATGATAATATCTGATACTCACTAATTCTTGTGCATTTTTCTTCAAGTTTCATCACAATGTGCGTGCATTGGTGTGCACCTCCCTCACAAGGGCACTTGTATGGGCGTTTGTTGTGGCTAACCTTTGTTTGTGTCACTACAGCGTGGAGTACATAATACTATACAAGAGAAGTACACAGGCACAGTCGGAACACATAATGCCGACATATCACTTGAGGTAAAATGAAGTCTTTTGCGTTGATGTATCCCTCATTTCGCCACTTGCACGATGTGACCAGAGAAGGCGAGAATTGAACACATATTTGGGCTTTATACATGTTTGTGTGTGTGTGAGTGTGTATGTGTGTGTGTGTGAATGTGTGTGTGTGTGTGTGTGTGTGTGTGTGTGTGTGTGTGTGTGTGGGAGGGGGGGGGGGGTGCTTGGAATTGTTTGTATTATGAAAAGTATTTGTGAAGTATGAAGTGCAGTGTTGTACTGTAGATGCACGGTATTACAGCCTAACATAGAGTAATTTAGAGGTAAGGGGGAGAAGGGGGCCGCTGCCTCGTGAAGGATATTAGAACCCATACAACTCAGGGTTCAGTTCACAAGTCAGGATCGCAGCTTAATCGATATGTTCTCAGTCCATACGTCAAGGCGAATTCTGGTAATTGGGAAACACAAGTTGCTCGAACTCTTATAAGTGATTCCTTCGTCTGGACGAACGCAGGATTCACTTGTTTAGTAGCGTAGAGAAAGTAGAGAATAATAGTGAAGCATACAGAGAAAGGGTTGGAGAGATAGTGAGAGAAGCGAGCATAGATGAGAAAGACAAGAAAAATGGGAATACGCGAAAGAGGAGGAGAAAGGAGAGAAACAAGAAGTTTAAACAGTCAAGAGTAGAATAACGAGAGTTAAGTAACAGTAGTAGTCAGGAACAATCGCTTGCGGAATTGATATATTGAGTCAAACTAATGTGCAATGTGCTCCTTCCGCTAGAGTAACAGGTTATTATTAATAAATTTATCACATTGTTCCTCGTGGACTATGGGATAAATTTATTAATTAAGAACGCATGGGTAATTGCTTTGGTATTCATTAATGCCAAAACAACAAAACCCTTGACCGAAGGGGTTACCATCCAGGCCAGGGAAAGTACAGGAAACCTTGTACCAGTTAAGGAAAATTTATATCTAATCCTTATTCAGATAAGTGTTCTGCAGAACCACTTGGGTGCTCATGTGAATGAGTGGCATGATTCTCCAGTTATACATGAAAGGAAGAGGTCGTCATGCAACACAAACAAGGACATACACCGATGCCGGAATAGTGCAACAACATGCTCATTGTCATCAGTATAATTTTTTGCAGATTCTTAAATGGTCTAAATTACTGGAAGGAGGAGGAAGGTGATGGTGGAAAGGGAAGGTTTCGTTACAGATTTGGACAAATACTGACCCTAAGGAGGAAAGTGGAATTTTCGATATACAGAATTAGTCGAGATTTTTAGCGTCTAATTATCGTCACCAATGCTAAGTGTATACAGTATGAATTAGATATGCTGTTGGAGAGTGTACATATCGTTGCTTTCTAGTTGGTGATGCCAATTTTGTATTAGAACAAAATATTATGTGTCTGTAAGAAGAACTTTGACGTTGAATATCTTGCATATGACAAACTCGGAAAAGACGAGGTGAATTGTCTTGCTGGGTTGGAGATAAAGAGGTTGATAAGACACTTGAAAGAAGGGATAAGCGAATCGAAGGGATAAGAAACAAAGGCTTCCTAGAACCCAGGTAATGAAGGAGAGGGGGGGTTTGTAGGGCACCTGCAAGAAAGGGAAAAGGGGTTTGTAGGATATATGTAAGGTATAAAGGATTCCTGAATACATGCAAGACAAGAAAAGGGGCTCCTAGGATACATGTAAGGCAGACGAGTTTATTCGTTGGACACTTGCAAGAAAGAGGGATTTACAGGACACTTGCAAGGAAGAACGGTGTTGCAGGACACTTCTAGGAAGGTGGTCGTTTGCAACAGTAACCCAAAGGTTAATTGGGCTTCGAGGTGGCGTTGTTCTTATCTCTGATATATGTTAATGTCCTTCAATTCTATCAATAGAGTTCCATTCCTATTAATTTGTTCCACTGGTCCTGCGGACTAATGCGAGCGCCTGATTAACCATTAGATTTAAAAAGTTATAAAAAGTTTATCATCATTCAAGGTTTAAATTAGTATCATGCAAGAAAATTTCTAGTAACATAGGGGAATTTTACATATATTTTAAAGTCTTAATAATGATATCTGGGATGTTGGTAAACCGCTTTTCTCGAATTGCCTTTTTATGTCAAAGATTGTATATTATTAGAGCACCAGACAATAACGAGAGTTATTTTAGAACAACGGAAACCACGAAGGGATTAAAGTTCGTAAGAGGATGAGACGGGCGACAGTGGGATTGTAATGACAGGATAAGAATGGCGATAGGGAGAGGAATAGTGACTGGAGGGGTATCAGGGAGCGCTTCATGTTGACAAGCGGGATTAAATTAAGAAGTCATACTCATCCAAATATCTTCAACACTTGATGTGTCGTGATTGTATGCCACGTGTGTTTATGGCCAACTTTTCTCAACTTTTCCCACCACGCAGCTCCACATTGCAATTACAAATGATACAAACGGATTAACGTAGGCTCACATTAGTAGACCTTTACATGGCTATATGTAGACTGGTGAAGCAATTTTTAATATTAGACCGTCAGAAAAGGAGCAATACATTCAGGACCTGGTGACAAAACTCGTCAAAGGGTAATAATTCTTGTAAGAGTAAGGGTAATGGTTTTGACTTACAAAATATCTCAATAAAGTACAGGAACATAGAGAGATATTATCGATATTTAATAGTAGTAGCAAAGGAAATGATATGCTCATGGACGAAACGAGGCAAGAAGACTGAAAGGGAAGTGACAGGGAGGAAATGGTTCAGTCTTTGGTAGTGAACACTATAGTGAGGTGAGAAAATGATTGAAGGTTCACCATGACTCCGTCTCGCTGGCGACTGCCTGACTAGACATAAACATCATGCTCGCTATATTTGAGACACCAGGAGGGATCCACAAGTCATGGAACATTCTCATACGTGAACATTTTTACTTAAATATAATGTAAAGTTCCTGAACAACCCTTCCTTTATAGCGCCACCAGCCATCACTGTTTATTATAAATCTTGTGTAAACCATAGAACAAGAAGTAATTTATATAAACCTTGAGCTTAAACAGCGAGAATCGACTGTGCATGCGCGAAGCTCTGCCAGAGAGGGAGAGGATCATTCAACGGATGGAAGAGTCAGACGTTAAATGTCTCTCCTCCAGATATCTTTAGGACAGGCCATGACATCGAACCCTATATCCCAGTGAGTCACGAGCGAACGGGACAAACATTGGTCGTGATACACTGTACAGATGCAACGCCATCGAAGGGGATATAAAATAGCGAATCATAGGATACGTTCGTGACGATACAAAACGAGGGGTAAAGTGTCTTGTATAATCTGGGGATATAGATGTATAAGAGGGGTTACTTTTTTCGGCACTTTGAAAATGGACATGTTCTTTGTCCTCTGGTTACCAGACGGCGTGAAGCCGTCAACACTCAAGGTACATTATGACCAGTGAAAAATACAATTGTTCACTTCGTACAGCAAAAGTTAGCAGACTATACACTGCTGGCTCTCATAGCCCAAATTTCTTGAAAAGGAAATCTTTTCCTTTAGACATAACATCAGTTACGGGATTCTGTGTGGCTAAGTCGCCAAGTTTGCCCATCAGGTTTCCTTCACCCATTGGGTTGGGTATCCCGGAAAGTCCTGCCCCTAAGCCACCGGGTAACGCACCAGCTAGACCACCGGGCTTCTCCTCTTTAATGTCTCCTTCCTTGGAGGCTGCAGGGTCATGCTCAACAGGTTTAGGGGAAGTCGCATCTTCTTCAAGTGGATCGTTCAAGTCGAAGTCTTCCATTAGTTGGTCCAAATCTGCAGAAGAAATGGTGGGTCCGTTGTCCGGATCTTCATCAAGAAGATCGAGACCATTGAGTTTAGCCCGAGAAGCGGCTGTAGTGGCAGGAGTGCCCGCTGACGAGGTCGTGTTGGGGAACGCAGCTCCTGCCAAGGTTCCTGACGATTTGTTGACGCCTCTCTCTCGCGACACTGACCTACCACCTCTCTCCGCCGCGCTGCTGATGGTGCCTGGGTCTTGGTGGTGGTCCCCCAGGGCCCCCTGGGCCCCCTTCATATCCTGTGGAAAGAGCAAAAAAGAATGAATGATGTGCTAACTAGATTTTTTCCTAATGTGCTTTAAATAGCATTATACAACTGCCAGCGTGTGTTTCTCTAAGCTACTTGGGAAGGTGTGCGAGATAAACATGCGCCAAATCGCCTGCGCCGCTGCTCTTCTGCGCAGGCGTGATAAGTTGGCACTCCAACAGGGATCTATACACTTATAATCAGTTTGGTTTTCACACAATTTAGATCAAAGGCTGTGTGAGTTTATTTACGTGTTTTTTAGTAGAAAGAATTGAAAGTGAAGAAGCTAAACGAGGAGAAAACTGCTATACAAGCCAGGAATCCAAACCAAGATCTAGGAATAAGGATGAGAAGGACCCATGCGCCGTCTTCATGCAGTATTCGGTCTTCAAATCGTTCAACTCGCTTCATGAACGTGGCCACTCACTCGGGGACATTTCTTGTGATGTAACCAATCAAATCTTCAAGATCTACAAAAAGTTAGCGTTGGAGAAGGTATACTAACAAATAGTAATCGAACAGCTGGCACCTACACTACTAAATAAATAAAATAAAATAAAACATCTCGTTCCAGCCATTTACTGACTACACAAGGTCACACTTAAGGCCCAATACTTCTATTGCAGATAGTTGTCAGCTTGCCTCAGAGCGCTGACCAATGACTGTTACGTACTAATATGAACATTAGCAAGCCCTTAAACATTAACTGCTGACATGAAAAGACTTTTCCTAAAAAGAGGTAATGTCATAGGCTAAGAGATAATCAATAATCTTCCTTTATGCTATCCCCTACCATCAGAACATTTACGAAATCTCCAGCTATCCACCAAGTGCACTGCTGTCGATTCTAGTTGTTGTGATAGTTTGCTCAAAGTAAAGTATGCACTATAATATGAAGCTTGATGCTATAGTATATAAATCACTCATAACTAAATTGTAGTATACTCGGCAAGGTTTCATTCAAACATTTTTGTGTCCATGTTCGAGATCTTGTATCTCATACGCCCATCGGGTCGTTCATCTATACCGTAAACAGTTTACGACCACCGAAGAACATCGAGGTCGTCTTCAATCCAAGCGTCTCGGTCCTCGTAAAGTGCTAGTGAATACAAACTGAGTCGCACTGATTGAGGTAAGAGGTTCAGATCTCGTAAGTGCTCTATGAAGCCTGGCCAGCCAAGCAGGTCGAGTATTGATTATATACAAAAGCCTTACTTAAAGCCATCGGATCAGAAAACTTAATTTAATTAATTCATATCCAAAATATCAGAGAGAAGTTTATAAAGAATTTAGAATATATTATATATATATATAAATATGTATATATATATATATATATATATATATATATATATATATATATATATATATATATATATATATATATATATATATATATATATATATATATAATTAAAACATTTTGAACTTGCTATATATAAATGTACGCTACAGCTTATCGCTTTCTACAATTCTGTACAAACTATAACACAATAGGCTTCTACAATGATTACCAACTGTTTCTGAAGCTAGTAAATTATGATTACGTCTAATAGCTACGGGTATCTACTTTAGATGAGGTTATTAAATAGGTGTTAACAAGTCAGCTAATCTTCATATCCATCTTGTGGATATTGACTCATGCGACCATAATCCACCGAGAAGGAAGGGAAAAGGGGGGGACTTAAGGAGAACTCTGATCGCTTTCCACAGCAATGAAGGAGGCGAATATGACGAGTAGCGAGGCACCTCAGTACCTCGCCTGGGTCCAGCACGGGAGCATCACCATACCTAAGTTACCTGACTCTTGACACCCCACGGATGTTCTCCCTCACTTCTTGAACTCGCGCATAACTGCTTGAGCCGCTGCAAGAACATATTAATATATTCATGAGAGAATGTGACCTTGCTGCTGCCGCATTTAATTTTTGTTTAAGCTCTGGTGAGTGCTGTGATGGAAAACAATTGTGTGAGAGAGTAGCACGACAAACGAATGTGTGTTGTCAAACTTCGGCCACAGATGGTTGTTTATATCAGAGGGATAGCACAGGTGATAGCTGGGGTCCGATATACCACGTCAAACTAACGTTTGCCTCAAGGGCGACTATTGGAAAACGTTAGAATGAAAGTGCTGTAAATAGTGCCCCCATTTATACCCAAAGGTGAGACATCAAACGAACGTTTGTGACAATATGTGCAGCGATAAACGAGAGTTTGTGTCAAAGTGTCATGAAGAGCAGTTTCAAGAAGTGTGACCTAACATCCGGGAAGTATAATATGTAAAAAATGTCAGTTTTATATTCGTAGGTGCAAAACAGCGTTATATGTTTATATGAGTCAACGCTGGACTGTAACAAGCAAACAAAATAAAAATACGAAACAAAAGAAGGGTGAGCAAGCAACAATGTACTATAAAACACCTAAAGCTACAATAACAATGATAACAGCCACCAGCCACAATAACAATATTAAACGAAGAAGCACAAGTGTTCCATCTGGAAAGCCATGCTCAGTCTTTCTCTCATGAAAGGCATTAAACAGGGAAAGTTCAGCAAAGTTAACTGTGAAGAAGAAGAAACAACAGACTAGAGACAGGAAACTAAGGGAGACCATAAAATAGGGAAAGGAGACTCAGAGACACGATAGATTAGAGATAGGTAAATGAGGGAGACAATTGACTAGAAACAGGGAACCAGTGGATACGATAGACTAGAGGTAGGCAATCGGAGTAGACAATAGATTGGAGATAAGCATAAAATAGAGCAACGGAAAGAGAAGGGGGAGGGATGATACGAGAAAAAATATATATAAAACGAGATAATGAAAAAGAGATAATAGCCAAGATAACAGCGGAAATAAAAAGTGATCAGATCGAGAGAAATTAAGGAGAAGAGCGAGGAGATAAGAGAAGATATCAGGAAGGGAAAGGAAGAGAGCAGATATCAGTTTTGTTTACAATTTATATGTCAAAAAAATACAAAAACAGATATATATTTGAAAAGCTATAACAAATAAATCAGAAAGAGGATATCAAAGAAAGAGAGAGAGAAGAAATATCAGAGTGGAAAAAGAGACATCGAAGAGTGGACAAAGAAAGGGGATACAAAAAATAGTGGAAGGATAGGTGACAGGAAAGAGAGTGGATAATGGATAAGCTGACCAAAGAGGAAGATGAGTAAAGTGTGTTAAAGCGAATCCGACGGAGGAGACACATATAGGTTGAAAGAGAAATAAAGAGAAAAAGAAAAAGAGAATTTAAAGATACGAGACATAGAGAAGTAGAATGAGGATCGAGAAAGAGAGAGAAACTTTACACATATGCATATGTGTGTATATCACGAAAATAAACACGCGATAAAGAATGTGACAATGTCAGACCACGGAGGAAAATGAAACAGGAATTTCCTTAAGTACTTTCGTATATTAAATACATCTTCAGAAGGAATTCCTTCTGAAGATGTATTTAATATACGAAAGTACTTAAGGAAATTCCTGTTTCATTTTCCTCCGTGGTCTGACATTGTCACATATGCATATATATATATATATATATATATATATATATATATATATATATATATATATATATATATATATATATATATATATATATATATATAATATTGGTAGCAGTCATTCTTGTAGACATATATTATTGCAGACGCAAGGGTGAGATAAATATTCTAGTACGAATCTACTCTTTATTTTCTTATACTTTTATTCACTTCAAATTAACTTTGTAAACTTTATTTTACAATTGTATTATGCCATGACACTTAGAGATAACCCTTGTCAACATTAGCGAAGAAATACTTTGAACAATTACAAGTTCTGATTGATTGATTGATAAAGATTAAGCCACCCAAGAGGTGGCACGGGCATGAATAGCTCGTAAGTGGTACAATTTTTTTTCTCAGTATTCTGAGGTTGCATTTAACCATCAAGCTGTTATCATGGGGGAGGATACTGCTTCACAGTCTTTATAAGGGTGTCCAGCTGCTGGACAACTCTACAAGTTCTTGTGCTCCTGGATATATATATCCGGGGATGAGGTGAAGGTGAAACTCCTTTATTACGAGCCAGTAGGCCCATTGTAACTTACCAATCCCTTACGTTTCCATGATGGCTGGGACACATATGTTTCTTCGTGTTCTCCATGACAGAAGTGTAATTTGTTGTGAGTTGGTTGATAATAGTGGGTTTAGTTTGCTTAATGTATAATGCCTCGACAATGTTCCGTCTTCTATTGCAATGCATTTGTTGAATATTTCAGTGTTGTTTTCAGGATATCACTGGTGATAATCTTGTTAGTTATTGAGACTATGTGGTCTTTGATAAAGCCTTGCTTCTGTGCTTTATGTCGTTGTCTTGCCTATTTATAGAGATCGTTGGGGCTCAAAGTCCCCAAGTGGGTATGTGAAGTTAAGACGACGTTCGTCTCTTTCAAAGAAGAGTTTTATTTGGTGTCAAAAGAGTTTTCTATGGAACTTTTCCATGGAGAAGTTGCTGTGGAATATTTTAATAGTAGAGACCGGTAATGTACTGTGTTCTGTTTTGTCTCAGGTTGCAAGGCGGCTCACGTTCTTTTTAATGACATGTTCGTCATATTCATTAGAGAATCCATTATTGACCAGGACTTGCTTTACTCTACCGAGTTCCTAGTCAACCTCTTTCCAACTGGAGCTGTGGGGGGAGGGTTACACAGGCATTGATATCAGTCTTCTTGTACCTATCGAGGCAATCACTCTTACTGTTAAGGCTAACCATTATATGATAGTTTCCTTAGTGCAGACTGTACTGTGAAAGCCATCATTCCTTAACGAGATTGTTACATCAAGGAAAGGTAGTCCACTTCCACTCAAAGGCACTACGGGCTCACCATAGCCTGTATTACTTGGAACTTTTCGTTCCAGGTAGCGAATCTTTAACAACAACAACAACTTTCACTCACAATGTCGTAAGTCAACCTTAGCCCTGAATTTCCCCCAAATG